ATTCCATGCGCCTCATATACGACCTTCTTAAAGGCGTCTGATCGTATGTCAGTGTTTTCCCGTGAGTTAATTAATCTCTTTGTATCATAAGCTTTATTTCTGAAGTACGTGTGATTACACATTTCCAAGTTAAGTCTCGATACCGGGTGTTGATATATCATTGTCACGCACGTGTACTATTGTTTACCCGGTGTTACTATAATTTACACTACGGTAATGGAATGCCCGATACGCAATACGGAAATGACGACACGAAAATACGACAAGAAAAACATGTGTATTACGAAGGGTGGAAAGTCCTTAAACACTTATAACTAGCGTGTCAATCAAGCGTTTTATTTGCAACACAGTTACATCGCCCTTTGTATGTAAATTATAAAGCATGACGGATTTGACCGTAACCCATCGAGTGAGTTTATCTCGCCGGGTCTTACCTGTAATAGAAACGAAAACAAAAAACACACTAAATATTCCCTTTTTAAAAATATTCAAATATTAAATTCAACGAAAAGGGTGTATAGTGTAAATAAAGCAGTCGTCGTCAGTTGCTTACGACAATAACGTTAATTTTGGATCGATTTCCGGCACCATGCGGCATGCCCCGATTTTAAAACTTTTTCAACGGAGGCACGGGGTAATAAACTTCTGATGCAACAGACAATCTATTGCTTAAATGAGTCTTCCTTCTGGAGTAATATTTACATTAAAATCGGCATGCTTCTTTTCACATGATGTGTCAAGGTAACCGTGAATATTTATTAAATGCGTGCTCGTTTTCTTAACAGAATTTGTGTTATAAAATGTCGATAGGCCTAATTATTTCCATCGTATATTGCCATTAACTACCACACATGTTTGTCTAGACTAAATTATATGACCATCGAGCGATGGTCGATCTGTTGTTTTCCACTGTCTGGGGTGAAGCGAATGAAATTTCACCCTGACAAATGCAACATACTCAACATTGCACCGAAACGCAACAAAATACACCATGACTACAAACTCCACAACCACACATTACACCAAGTAGAATCAAGCAGATACTTAGGCCTAACATTACAAAATAACCTACGATGGTACAAACATATTAACAACATCACAGCCAATGCCAATAGGTCCTTAGGTTTTCTAAAACGCAACTTAAAAATAAACTCACCACATATAAAAGAACATGCATACAAAGCACTAGTCAGGCCAAAACTTGAATACTGCTCTTCCATCAACACAAACCAAATTAAACAAATAGAAAAAACACAACGAAGAGCAGCACGCTACGTACAAAACAGATACCACAACACTAGTTCCGTAACAGATATGATCCACACACTACAATGGCCAACACTACAAACACGGCGCTGTCACACAAGAATTATCTTTTTTTTTACAAAATCATACACAAAATCGTAGCTTTAAACCCAACTCATATTCTCACCCCCGTAGACCCTCGCACCAGACATGCACACCCTCACGCATATACACACATATCTGCTACAAAGGACACCTACAAATATTCATTCTTTCCACACACAATAACACAATGGAATCTCCTTCCCATAGCAGCAGTACAATGCACAACACTAGAGGACTTCAAGGCACACTTACCCTACACAGCCCTTGAACTCCTCATCACACGCTAAACATACGCCAGATTTTATCTGTTTATCTATACCTTGCACAAACAAAATCACAAAAAAACTAATCACTGTAAATAACCCCCTTATTCACGCCTCTGCAATAGGACCCCCCGAGGGCATAAACATCAAAATGATAGAGCCCCCGTACGACAAAGAAGAAGGTAGCAATTTTCTTCTGGCAAAGAGTAAGTTCTCTTGTCAAGTTAGTGTATCTTTCAATGTTCCTTTTCATTTTAAAATATATACTTCATGTCCTCGTGAATTTGACTTTCATTTTGATTCTGTTCATTAGCATGTAGATTTTCCGGATGGTAACATTGGTCAATTTTTTTTAAATTTGAATTTAATTGTTTTTAGCTCAGATTGAGTTGGGTTTTTTTTTTTTTTTTAACTCAAAAGGGAGATTTGAGGTTTAAATCTTCAAAACCCTTCTTCCTCTGTACTATTGGAGGGATTTCATCCAAATTTGGCCTGCAGCATCCTTGGGCAAAGGGGACTTTATTTTGTATCAACAGATATAATTTCCCATGGTTGCTTTATTATCAAGGTAAGCGATACAGGCCTTCTGGGCTTCTTGTTTTTATCTATTTTCAAACATTCAAATTTCAAACATACATTATTCTATAAAACACATACCAACATACAAATGTATGCATAAATACGCACACTTGCCAACTCTCCCTATTAAGGAGGGAACTTTCAGATTGTGAACCCTAAAATTGATCATTTTCAATCAGTGAGTTGCTAAACTATTCCAATATTTGAAGATCTAAGAATTTCATCTGAAAGAACAAATCAAAATGTGTCGTTTAAAGGGTTATTTTGTTTTTATTGGGTATATTTTTTTAGAATACTTACTAAGCAATCATTTCGCAATAGTGAGGCATGTATAGGTACAATTTTATAGTTTATCTGTTGGTATCCTTTCCCAAACTTTAACCCATATATTGGTGTTACACGTGGGACAAAGCTAGTGTTCTAGAATTTTATAATTCTTACTTCTTTTTTTCACATGCTGAAAATATCTAGTATGTTAGTATATTTTTCACTGAACCCGAAATCTTTAAGTTTTTTTATGTATTACACTGAACCCGAAATCATGTCGTGATCTATGTATTACACTGAACCCGAAATCCTCTAGTGATCTATGTATTACACTGAACCCGAAATCCTCTCGTGATCTATGTATTACACTGAACCCGAAATCCTCTAGTAATATATGTATTACACTGAACACGAAATCCTCTCGTGATCTATGTATTACACTGAATCCGAAATCCTCTAGTGATCTATGTATTACACTGAACCCGAATTCCTCTAGTGATCTATATATTACACTGAACCCGAAATCCTCTAGTAATATGTGTATTACACTGAACACGAAATCCTCTCGTGATCTATGTATTACCCTGAACCCGAAATCCTCTAGTGATCTATGTATTACACTGAACCCGAAATCCTCTAGTGATCTATATATTACACTGAACCCGAAATCCTCTAGTAAATTATGTATAAAACTGAACCCGAAATCCTCTAGTGATCTATATATTACACTGAACCCGAAATCCTCTGGTGATCTATGTATCACACTGAACCCGAACTCCTCTCGCGATCTATGTATTACACTGAACCCGAAATCCTCTAGTGATCTATGTATAACACTGGACCCGAAATCCTCTAGTGATCTATATATTACAATGAACCCGAAATCCTCTGGTGATCTATGTATTACACTGAACCCGAACTCCTCTCGCGATCTATGTATTACACTGAACCCGAAATCCTCTCGTGATCTATATATAATACTGAACCCGAAATCCTCTAGTGATCTATGTATTACACTGAACCCGAAATTATCTAGTCATCATGTATTACACTGAACCCGAAATCTTCTCGTGATCTATATATTACAGTGAACCCGAACTCCTTAAGTGATCTATGTATAACACTGAACCCGAAATCCTCTAGTGATCTATATATTACACTGAACCCGAAATCCTCTAGTGATTTATGTATAACACTGGACCCGAAATCCTCTAGTGATCTATATATTACACAGAACCCGAAATCCTCTGGTGATCTATGTATTACATTGAACCCGAAATCCTCTAGTGATCTGTGTATTACAATGAACCCGAAATCCTCTAGTGATTTATGTATAACACTGGACCCGAAATCCTCTAGTGATCTATATATTACACTGAACCCGAAATCCTCTAGTGATCTATATTTTACACTGAACCCGAAATCCTCTGGTGATCTATGTATAACCCTGAACCCGAAATCCTCTAGTGATCTATGTATAACACTGGACCCGAAATCCTCTAGTTATCTATATATTACACTGAACCCGAAATCCTCTGGTGATCTATGTATTACACTGAACCCGAACTCCTCTCGTGATCTATGTATTACACTGAACCCGAAATCCTCTCGTGATCTATATATAACACTGAACACGAAATCCTCTAGTGATCTATGTATTACACTGAACCCGAAATTATCTATTCATCATGTATTACACTGAACCCGAAATCTTTTCGTGAACTATGTATTACAGTGAACCCGAAATCCTCTCGTGATCCATATATTACACTGAACACGAAATCCTCTCGTGATCTATGTATTACACTGAACCCGAAATCCTTGAGTGATCTATATATTACACTGAACACGAAATTCTCTAGTGATCTATGTATCACAGTGAACCCGAAATCCTCTCGTGATCTATGTATTACACTGAACCCGAAATCCTCTAGTGATCTGTGTATTACAATGAACCCGAAATCCTTTAGTTATCTATGTATTACACTGAACCCGAATTCCTCTAGTGATCTATGTATTACACTGAACCCGAACTCCTTAAGTGATATATGTATTACACTGAACCCGAACTCCTTGAATGATCTATGTATTACACTGAACCAAAAATCCTCTAGTGATCTATGTATTACACTGAACTCGAAATCCTTGAATGATCTATGTATCACACTGAACCCAAACTCCTTGAGTGATCTATGTATTACACTGAACCCAAAATCCTCTAGTGATCTATGTATTACACTGAACCCGAAATCCTTTAGTGTTCTATGTATTACACTGAACCCGAAATCTTTTAGTGATATATGTATAACAATGAACTCGAAATTCTTTAGTGGTCTATAAATGTACTACACTGAACTCGAAATCCTCTAGTGATTCATGTATTACACTGATCCCTAGATTCTCTATTGATCTTTATAACACTGAACTACTGTAGAGATTCACAAATATACATGGAGGTCATTGCTTGTGTACCTTAACTGTAACAAATGTTATTGTTTAAGGGTGAATAGTGAAAAGTGCTATCCTTGTTGTCTTCCACAGTCTCCGAACCCTGCACGAACAGATTCCACCAAACGTATAGAGAGGAGAAACCTTTTCTCATTGACCTGCAGCCAGGAGATGATGGTTTTCAACACTCAAAGCTATGTAGTATGGCTTTTACTGCCTCCCCTGTCCAGGATGAAAATGGCGACAATGTTCTCGTCTGCTTTAAGTTCCTCCAGTTCACCCTCCTTAACTGCAGCATTGAACTTAAGGTGCAAGGCATCGAGCAGAAAATAGTAAGTTCTGTTAGTTCACGCATTGAACGTAAGGTGCGAGACATTGAGCAGAAAATAGTAAGTTCTGTTAGTTCACGCATTGAACTTAAGGTGCACGGCATCGAGCAGAACATAGTAAGTTCTGTTAGTTCACGCATTGAACTTAAGGTGCAAGGCATCGAGCAGAAAATAGCAAGTTCTGTTAGTTCACGCATTGAACTTAAGGTGCAAGACATTGATCACGAAATAGTTAGTTCTGTTAGTTCACGCATTGAACTTAAGGTGCAAGACATTGAGCAGAAAATAGTAAGTTCTGTTAGTTCATGCAATTTCTGCATTACGTTGAACAGAAAATATTTTTTATTAAGAGAGGTTTAAAGATAACTAAATTAAAGAGGCATAAAAATAAATCATAAGTTTTCTTCAAATTAAAAAAAAAAGAAGCAAAGACACTTTAACAAATAAAATAATCAAATTTATATATATAAAATCAGTAAAACATTGTATTCCTTATCAATATTTATATTCCAGCATTATTTCAAACATAAACTCCTTGCAACAAATGAACAAAAATGCTTTTGGAGAACCACTGTCTATGTACATATAAGAAGTTTGGACTACTTCAACTGTGACCCCACTACCAGGATACGGATAGAGGTCAAAGCCAGGAACGGTACAGCATTTGTTTTTTTACATATTAGGCCCTCATCCCATATGCATCTTATTGAACTTGAATGGTTCAATAATTAAATAGTCAGTGACCAACTATATGACTCATAATATCACGTCTAGAACCCGTATCTCGTTTTGCTTGCTGATGAAGTTTACATATTGAAACAGGCAGCTTTTATCAACTGTAAACATATTAAAATTACAGGTATTCGATATTCAGTAGCCAGTTAAAATGATAACTATTTTCAAGAGCTGTTTCGGTCTCTTTGTTACGTGTAGCTCACCTTACCTGAACGACCGTATGTGCTTGTGTCACAGCGTCCGGCGTCTGGTGTCAATATATCAGTTTTGTGTTTTGTTTGTTTGTTTCTATAAAACTCCCTTCTCCTGGTGGGCTATCAGATTTGGTCTGAAGCTTCATTCATGTGCTTTTTTCCCAAAAACTTATTTGCAATCAAAGATGATTATGTAATCAGATTGGCGGAAATATTTTCTAATTCTTAATGTTGTTTTAAACATATTTTATTGCCTTTCTTAATGTTAACCAGTATTAACCAAACTTGATCTGAAAATTGTTGTCATGGTCCTGACTGGTGCTATCATCTGGGTATGATGCTTATTCAAAAAATAAATCGACAAATCTCAATATCGCCTGATCAATTTTGTTAAATTCGTACATGTATCAATGTGATCGACTTAACAAGTGTTGTTGTTTTATTGTTCGGATCAATCAGAAATTGGATGTTGTCAACATGTTTTCTTTAGATAACAAAAGTAACAAATGTGAGCGATACAGGCACTATGGGACTCTTGTTGTTTGATATATCCTCTGTTACATATCTCTTCACTATCCATTTGTACAGGATTTCCGTCTCTGATAAGGTATTCACATACTTTGATTAATGTTATTATCTCCCTTTATTAATTCTGATTCCACAGCAAAGTCCATAGATGATCGTATCATGTCCGCCGGGAATTGGATTACTGCCACCCTGCTCATTGTAGTATTCTCCATCGGTGCACTCTCTCTGGGCTGCTATAAGTACAAGTACAAAGTAAGAATTAATAGACCGGTTTTGGGCCGGACAGATATTCCAGACGACGACTACCGCAATATCGCTTCAAGGCACAGCAGGTTTAGTCAAGATCAACGATCACGTCCCTTACCGAGGCTTCATAACAATCAAAGAATGTCAGCAGCAAACGGAGGTTTTAGAGTGAATGGAAGTCGACGAATGAATGGGAACCGAAATCAGCGTGTAATGTCAGTCCAACGAAGGTATACTGGCCAAGGTAAACTTCTAAATACACTCCGTGATTCTACATTATTGAGCAACTTATATCAAGTATTCATTCCTCATAAAACATAGTGATCACTCATTTTAAACCTTTTCTATTGAAATAGTTTTATTATCAGTGTGTCCTTTTCATTGCATTTTTTATTTAAGGACACAAATCAGTCCGTCCATCCGGCGTCAACTTTTCACTTTAAACAACTTGTTCTGAATAACCAATAGGCCTAGGGTGATGATATTTGGCTAGTAGCATGCTGGGATAAAGGGCTACCAAGTTCGTTCAAATGTATGACCTTCATCCATATTCAAGGTCACAGGGGTTGAATATGTTAACTTCTTTTTAAACAAGTTCTTCTGAACAACCAGAAGGCCCAGGATGATGATATTTTGATATTTTTAAACAGGTTGTTTAAAAAGATTTCAAAATATTTGACTCCTGTGACCTTGAATATGAATGAAGGTCATCCATTTGAACAAACTTTGTAGGCTTTCATCCCAGCATACTACCGTCTCTTGGTTATTCAGAAGAAGTTGTTTTAAAGTTTTTAAGACAATTGACCCCTGTGACATATCGGTAACATGTTGTATGAAGGTCTAACAAGTTAGTTCAAATTGTCTTAAAACACTTTCAAACGACTTCTTCTGAATAACCAAGAGGCGGTAGTATGCTGGGATGAAAGCCTACAAAGTTTGTTCAAATGGATGACCTTCATCCATATTCAAGGTCACAGGAGTCAAATATTTTGAAATATTTGTTAACAACTTCTAAATAAACCAAATTTGCTAGGTTGGTGATGTTTAGTCAGAAGTATGCTGGAATGAAGGGTTACCAAGTTTGTTCAAACTATTGACTTTCACCTCTAGTCACAGGGGAATACCGGTAACAAACAAAAACAACCATAGGTGGTCATATTTTGCCAGTAGCATGTTCAGATGAAGAGCTATTAAGTTTCTTCATGTGAATAACCTTGACCAACTTTCAAGGTCTCCAGTTGTCTAATTTGTATAAACATCTAAATAACCTAATCTCAATGAACAACATGTCTTGGAGAGGTGATATTTGGCAAATTACATGCCGTGATGAAGGGCTATAAAGTTTGTCCATCTAAATGACCTTGTTAGACTTTCAAGGTCAAATGTGTTAAAATGTTTTAACAGGTTTTTTTGAATGACTAGCAGTCATATATACTGATGTTTTGCCTGTAGCTTTATTTGAGTTTAAGGTTACAAGTATGAAATTCATACCAGGTGAGCGAAGCAGGGCTATTGGGCCTCTTGTATTAATTTTGTCTTCCCAAATTTTATGTGACTGACAAGGGTTTTACATATTTTATAAATATAGCACAGAGCCCAATAAGTGGAAGAGAAAGAGCAGAACGTAGCAGTCCTCACCATGACAACCAAATGCCACTTGTGTACACAAGGGCACCACCGCCTTCTTACGAGGAATGTATGGCCGCCACAGATCAACCTTTAGTGTATATACAGAGACACATAGTTGTCGATGAAACTGATCTTGACGACATACAGGAAGAACAGCTCATAAATGATTCACCACCTCCGTACCCTGGACTTTAATCATTGTTCCAGTAAAACCATATTTTCTTTATTATGCAAGATAAATAAATGTTTAGATTCCCTCCATTTCATACGACAGAAATATGCGCTCTGGTTAACATTTTGTTTGAAAAGACGGTATAAATCGACAAAAAGGTGAATGCATATATTGCCCTGTTGACTGTTTTATTTAACAGAAATGTGGAAAGCAGTGCCCTGTAACCGTTTATTTGACAAAAAATTCCAAAGCATTGTCCTTGCTACCGTTTTGTTCGACAAATGTGTAACGCGGTGCTCTGGCCACCTTTTCGTTTGACAAGAAGGTTCAATCAGTGCCCTGTTCACCATTTTATTGGTCACAAAAGATGTAAAACAGTAGTCTGTCCAATGTTTTTTCTATAAGAATCGGAAAAGTTGTTATCTTGCCATCATTGTTTTCAACAAGAATGTGTAAAACGATGACCTATCACCGTTTTAATCAACAAGAATGTTTAAAGCGATGGTCTGGTCACAGTTATATTCGACAAAAATGCATTAATCTGTAGTCTGGTCACCGTAGGGGTTTGGTCACTATAGGTGCAGAAGGGCAAAGCCCAAAAGGAGAATTTGAGGTCTTCAAATCCTTCTGCTTCTGTACCAATAGAGGAATTTTATTCAAATTTGGCCTGGAGCATCCTTGGGCAAAGGGGACTTAATTTTGTATAATAGAGGGTTGCTTTTAGGGGGCAGAGGGATGGGCCAAATAGGAGAAATTGAGATTAAATATTGAAATCCATCCCACTTCATGGGGGCAGAAAGAGGGGACCTTATAAGGGGTGCGTGTTGCTGGAGACAGCCAATATTTGGAAATAGGTGGAAGAATATTTTTCCATGGTTGCTTTATTATCCAGGTGAGCGATACAGGCCCTCTGTTATTGTTACAAACTAGTCAACAGTGATGTGTTTAACAAGTACCGAACACCTCTAAATGTCATCAATGGTAAATAAATGTCATGCTTACTGTAAATATGGACAACTGGCAAATTATAATAGTTCTTTTTGTGTTTTTATTTTTTTATTCCATAACTATGCATTTTATTGTCATAAGTTGCGATTTTTAGCTCACCTGCCCGAAGGCACTGAATCATGGTTAAATAAAGAAATCCAAACCGCCAAAATATTCCCTCCATATTTAATATTTGCAGAAATGACAGAGAAAAAAAGGGAGGGGGTGTATTCTTAGCTATCTCCAAATTCTCATTTCGGAGGAAAGGCTAGAACTAACCACAAATCGTGAAATAAATTTACATCGTAGTAATGAAATCCACTTGCATTGCTGCATATTACAAACCACAAGAGAATGACATGGAAAGCCTTACCAAAAATACCAAGGAACAGTCACATTTGGGTTCTTGGTGATTTCAATCTTCTAAAGTATGATTGATCAGAAAACGCACAAACTTCCAACACACAACAGCGGTGTTTATCCATATTTTCTGATCCTTATCAACGACTAGATAAGAACAAGTAGTGAAGAGTCCCACTAGAAAGATGACATCTTGGACCTTTTCCTTCTAAATCAACATTACTTGTTCATGAAACAAAAAACATTTCCAGGCCTTGGTCCCTCCGACCACGACATTGTTTTTCACGAACCTAAAATTATACATAGTAGAAAATCATAATATATCTGTCGTATATTATACCTATATAATACGACATTGATATGACAGTGCATCTTGCGCAAGAATAGGTCCTCTACATCAGCGTTCCTTGTCCGCGATACTCTCGGCTGCCTTCGGCTGTCTTTAGCCGAGGGGACTATTGGTTTTATATAATAGCTATATTTTCAATTATAGTATATCAATTCTATCTTCTTGTAATATGATGTATATGTTCATGTAACTGTTCTGTTTCACTGTGTCTTGAAAAAGGAGCGGATTGCTCCGAAAATTTGACAACCTAAACTTGTCCACACTGTTGGAATTACTTCTTTGCCCCTCGTCGTATATAATATATATACAATAAAGCAGACTGGGATTCCATCTTGTCTCTTGCTAAACAGTACCCAGTCACCACCAAATTATACTCTGTGGAGCAAAAGAGATCCTATCTGAAAGAGAATTTAAATAGAATAGTTTACAAATTGATCCCCTCGAAAATGTCAAAAAGTAGGGTAGACCTTCCATGAATGACCATTGACATAAAACAGCTCATCAGAAAACGGGACAGGCTCCTAGCATCAAACCCAACATGCAACAGTAAATGAAGTCCATTAAACACGAAATCAAAAACAAACTTAGAAAAACAATATTGGCATTATATTGAATAAAATATAGTGACTTACACAGAAAACAAAGAACTACCAAGCACACCAATCAAACGTTTTTGGTCTTTTATAAAAAGCAGGAAAACTGAAGACATTGGAATTCCATCTCTAAAAGTTAATTGCAAACTAAAACCAAACTAAAACCCAAGCAGAAGCTCAAAACAAGCCATTCCGATTTGTGTTTACCACACCATCACCACTAAAGCTTTCCCATCTCTAAGCGCATTCCAAATAGTATATGTACAGCTCTAGGTGTTTCCAAACTGCTGGGAAATCTCAACCCAAACAAAGCTATAGGCCCTGACAAAACCTCGCCAAACTTCCTCAAACACATACAACCTCCACGAAATTTCACCCACCAAAGCAGACATTTTCAACAGCTCACTTCAAAATGGCCATGTCCCTGCAGAATGGAAAACAGCACATATGATTCCATGCTTTAAAATAAGTGCCAAAAACGACCCACAAATCTATCGCCCCATATCTCTTACATGTATACTTAGCAAAGTGTTTGAACACATCCTCGTATCTATCATGTCACATCTAGATAGTCATAACCTTCCACCCCTCTCCAGCACGGCGTTCGCTCCAAACACAGTTGTGAATCCCAACTTGTCACCTTCACCACTGACATCAACGATAACCTAGCTGAAGGAAAACAAACTGATATAACCGCTGTGGATTTTTCAAAAATCTTTGATAAAGTGGACCACCAAAGACTTACTTTCAAACTTTCTCGTTTCGGCATCAACCCGCAAATTATTAACTGAATAAAAAAATCCCTTGAGAATCGTAGCCAAAAAGTTAATGTGGAAAATAATGAATCTAATGTCTGTCCAGTTCTGCCAGGTGGGCCCCAAGGTTCGGTTCTGGACCCCTGTCTGTTTCTGATGTTTATCATGACTTACCAAATTCAATTAAAAGTCAGGTTCGCCTTTTTTTGCTGGCGACACTATCATTTATATCGCCATCTCCTCTAAATCAGACTCACAAACTCTACAAAAAGACCTACATCTACTAGAAAACCAGGAAAATAAATGGTTAATGGACTTCAACACTGAAAAATGCGAAATTATAACTGTCCCCCGCGAAATAAACCATGTAATCCACAAGTACACACTACACGGAATCGAACTAATACACACAAACTCAGCAAAGTATTTAGGCCTTAACAGCATATCACCGGCATCACAAACAAAGCAGAAAACAACCTCGGATTCATCCGCAGAAATGTAAAAATAGACCAAATCAACACAAAATAACTTGCATACAAGACATATATACGCCCACAACTGGAGTAATGCAGTACAATATGGGACCCATGGCAAACAAATTATCAAAATAGGATTGAAACAAATCAGAGAAAGCTGTTAGTAACGTTCTAAACAATTACTCGCAGAAATCTTACCCCATTAATCTTGCTTTACAAAATCATTCACATGGCAATTGAAAAAGACAAAATCCTGATTCCTTCCCGAAATCATAGATATGTAATTCCACATTCGGCATCTAACTACCATTCTCAATCCTTCTTTCCACGTTCCATTCGCCTCTGGAATATGTTGCACCCGGACATTGCACTCAGCTTTGACCTCAAAACATTAAAGTCAGGACTCCAAACACACATGCTGTTAAGGCCCTAAACTTTTACCTTAAACACGTTAACCACAAACTTCACGTTCTACTTGACAGTGCGCCTTTGTACTATCTTCTACATACTGAAGGGCACACCGGTACCGTACACTGCTGATGTTGATGACAGAGGGACAGATTGTTGGTGAATTGAAAAAACGTTATACGTGGTGCTTCTTATACATACTATTGGAAGTCATCTGTTCACTTACAATTAGGGAGGTTTCATTCTGTGTAGCCGCTGTTCTATATGCGTACCTTATTTGCAGCCCTGTCATATCAGAGTCGTCATGCGATGTCAATGTTTACGTAAATAGTGATTTGTCTTCGTCCTTTCTTCGGCTTAAATGTGTAGAGAATTGTACTAAGTATGTAGTTCATATAGGTGTAGCTCCTGAACCGTAGCTACTGATATACAAATCCGTCACTGTGACGTCACAAATACTTCTGAACGCGCATTGATGGATGATTCGGTATTAATTTAAGATGGTTCGCTTATTTTTACAAAAGGTAAAATATCTTGGTCAAAATCCTTTAATGACAAATAAAATATTTAAATAAAAACTGGAAATTACCAATTCAACATGAAGCGCTAACATTCATAAATGCCCACTTCACATGAACGACAGTCGCTTCGCTACATTGTAATGGTGGCGTGCAAGTAAGTATTCCCCAATTAATACCTGTTTTAGCCTTGAAGAAATCATGATTCAATCCCTATAAAATGTTGCTTTATCCGATTTTAAAATCTTTGCCTGACTAATGTAGCAATACATTGTATTTTTATCAATTTCAATGTGTCATGTAAGTCATAGTTGCTGTGCAAAAAGCGACATTTTATTTCATTTCATTTTACTCTTTATAATTAATGCCGCGACAAATCAAACGGTGCTATTTTTCGCCTCGCCGCGTAAAAAGCGACAATGCGCCATTTATGACAATTAATCGGCGTCAATTTGCTTCGTCTGCTCGAATAAGCGTAAAGCCGAAAAAGTACCAATCTCCCTAAATATAGCCACCACAATAGACAGTTATACAGTTGCCAGCAAAAGGAACAAAAGCGATTTTCGATTCTATATATTTTAATACACATACTATATTATCATCATAATACATCACGACATGGTTCTGTAGTCTTTTTACATACTAAATCACACACTTTTACCAACAACATTCTAGCATGCAGGCGCCGATGTTGAGCTTAAGAGATTTTCATATATATATCCCCGACAATACCACCACCACCACCACCAGTCTACACATCAGCCTTCCTCACGCGGATGTTGCGGAAGAGATGGCCAAAGGATTCACAGAAAGGGTCGCAAACACACTTGACGAGAGCCGAGTAGACCCCGCGGATCGACTCCAGAGATATGTGGAACGCCTTCACACATGGAGTCACGCACCAGATGCTGCCAAAGCTGAGACTGGCGAACTTCAAACCACACAGTACGGCGATAGGGATACCGAACAGGGTGGTGAGGATAAGGTAGCACAAGTCCTTGGTGAAGTTGAAGGAGCGGGACGACTTTTCCCAAACCCCGTCCAGGGAGAGTAGACTGGGCGGCTCGCCGATCACATCATCAAATTCTACCTGAATTTAAAACGATGCGGTTATAGGGCTTTTCAATATAGTGGACCAGTTGGGACCAGTTATTTGAACTAGATGCAAAAATTTGATCAATAAATTTAATTTTCTGAAAGATTATAACATTTTTTAAAAGGTAAATATATAAGCATCGAATTAGCACGCGCAATTCAATTTCACAGGTCCCAGATCCCATTTATGGTAAATATTACTATTTAGAGATAAAAAAAAAAAAACACCCAAAAAACACCATAAAATAAAAACATTATGAAAAGTTACGCAAGTTTATAGAAAAAGGGGCACAGAGGTCTAAATATCCCCACATTCGCCATAGATTAGCTGTTCCCAGCCATGTCGCAGTACAGTCTCAAGTAACATCCTCCAACGTTAACCAATGATAACTCACCAAGGTATACGCATTCAATTTCTTCGGGTCCCGGGGGTACACATCGCCCAGGTCCTCGGCCGCCATTGGAACCTGAAGCAACAGGATAACTTTGAGAGAACACCTGTAGACAGGTGATCCAAAAAAATGATATAAGTGGGGATTAAACGCTGTGAAGGGAGACGATATAATTCATAGAGTTTGGCAACACATTTGCATTTCATTTAAAAATTCCATACACTTAGAACTTAGAATTCATTATTTACATAGTCAACTTCAAGGCATTCAGTGACGCACTAAAAAAAAAAAAGATATTGTAGAGATGCATGAAATACAGTCACTGTATATCTAGTAAATCCAGGAAAATCGCGAATACTTTTCAGAATGTTTTGACAAGATCATGAGATGCTTAACTACTAATGGGATATTTCTAAACATTTTCTTCATGTTGGTAAGTATGGATTATAAGAAGTTCTTTTTACACAACCAATATATGAACATGAATGTCATTGTAAAATGAATTCTGGAATTTAAGATATCGGTTAAAGTGCGGTCGGATAAGATTTTGAGTGCCGAGTATTTGTTTCGGACTGAAGTAGGTAACGCATTAAGTCGAGTTGTCTGAACTATGATTTTTTAATGAAATCCAATTAACAAATAACTCGTCAGTCATAAAATTAAACAAATATAACAGCAAAGAGCCATGTAACACTTACCACACCGCAGTAGTTCGCACTGACACTGCAGTGGCGTGCGGCTGCTTTCGAACTGACACTCGGGCAGAAAAAACGTGATGACGTCACAATCTTCACGTCAATATTGATGACGTCGCCTACAATTGTTGCGATCATATTACGCGGGAAAGATACGATCACAGTTTTGTACCGCACTATTTTTATTTGCTTTAGTGACAGTAGGTTAACAATACAGTATATAGTAAAATAATTGATTTTATGTTATGTCAATAAAATAATATTTAGTTGATGTATCTATTGCAACTCATAGGAAAATAAATTTTGAGCAATTCTTACAGGTTGACGGGTTGGGTATACAACGGCAAACTGTGTTTCTGGGTTCAATTCCTTAGCAATGTCGCTTATAGATAAATGAATAAATAACAATGATTGTAGACTTTTCTCAACTTAATGGTATTTCGAGAGTTATTAGCAATATTGTAATAATTTCGACTCTTCATCACAGCCCAATTGTTCAAAGCCTGACATCTTAAAGGACATTTTTTTTACCTGGGATATTTTCATCAATGTTAAAAGACATAACTTACTGATGTATCATTAGGAATCGGGGTCATGAAGATCTCAAACGAGTACATTACACATGTTATATATACAGTGTATATATATCGGGCTTTCGTACGTCAGGTCATGTACTGGTGACCTCATGATGGGTGTTTTGGGTGACTAAGTCAAGTTTCCGCTAGACTGAATAATAACCAACGTCGAAAGCGGCTAAATCTTTTATATCCTATAAATATAGTTTTACGGGAAAATGTGTGGGGAAACTTTATTAATCCATTAAAATATGTAAATACACAGGCCATTATATATCCTAATGAACACTGTAAAATGTCCCGCACCTCCTCATTATTGTGTCTTACATTTTTTTGTTAAATATTTACAAGGAAAATAACCAGGTTATCTCTTTATCAGTATATCGCAATGCGTGTCCTGTATCGTAGTCAATTCAGTATGCCATGTAGGTAATGTGACGCGTGTCTCTATTATCTGTGAACAATGTCGGCTATGACGTGGTGTTTCGTACCATTTCTGGTTCTTACTGCTGTTCATTTCAATGGTAATGTATAACTCTAAGACTTATTTTTTCATTTTTTCCCCTCTGCCCAAATTTAGCAATTAAGATTCCAAATAGTCATATCTTCTTTTTACAAAATACTGATATTTCATTGTTCAGACCCCATGTTTCCCAGAATTATTAACTAATAAATAATATGAACTGGCAATAAACTAAACAACTTCAAGTGTGTTATGAGGTCACTAACTGAAATTGTCTCATTGTTTTCTTTTAATCGGTCTTCAGGTTGTAACGTAAACTATTCAAGATAAATATCAGGAATAAAGAGTGATATAATTTTGCATGTTTTTGTGTTAAAGTGTTGGTGCTCGCGGACTGTCCAAACGGATGGATTAAACATCAGCAATGTTATCTCTTCAGCCACGACAAGCTTTCATGGACAGGAGCTATTGTGAGCTAAACAAACCTTCAGTGTCTGTACTTTATTGTACATGTGTTGATTGTGTTTACGTGTTGGTTGTGTATATGTGTTGGTTGGATCCCAGCCCTGTATTGAACATGTGTTGGTTGTGTATATGTGTCGGTTGGATCCCAGCCCTGACTTGTACACGTGTTAGTTGTGTATATGTGTTGGTTTGAATTGAGCCCTGTAATGTACATGTGTTGGTTGTGTATATGTGTTGGTTGGATCCCAGCCCTGACTTGTACACGTGTTGGTTGTGTATATGTGTTGGTTTGAATTGAGCCCTGTAATGTACATGTGTTGGTTGTGTATTTGTGATAGTTTGATCTGAGCCCTGTATTGTACACGTGTTGGTTGTGTATATGTGTTGGTTGGATATCAGCCCAGTATTGTATATGTGTTGGTTGGATCTCAGACCTGTATTGTACACGTGTTGGTTGTGTATCCGTGTTTGTTGGATCCCAACCCTGTACTGTACATGTGTTTGTTGTCTATATGTTTTGGTTTGATCTCAGCCCTGTATTGTACATGTGTTGGTTGTGTATCTGTGTTGGTTGGATCCCAGCCCTGTACTGTACATGTGTTTGTTGTGTATATGTGTTGGTTGGATCCCAGCCCTGTATTGTACATGTGTTGGTGGTGTATATGTTTTGGTTTGATCTCAGCCCTGTAGTGTACATGTGTTGGTTGTGTATTTGTGTTGGTTTGATCTCAGCCCTGTATTGTACATGTGTTTGTTGTGTATATATGTTGGTTTGATCTCTGCCCTGTATTGTACATGTGTTAGTTGTGTATAGGTGTTGGTTGGATCCTAGCCATGTATTGTACATGTGTTAGTTGTGTGTACGTTTTGGTTTGATCTCAGCCCTGTATTGTACATGTGATGGTTGTGTGTACGTTTTGGTTTGATCTCAGCCCTGTATTGTACATGTGATGGTTGTGTGTACGTTTTGGTTTGATCTCAGCCCTGTATTGTACCTGTGTTGGTTGTGTATAGGTGTTGGTTGGATCCCAGTCCTGTATTGTACATGTGTTTGTTGTGTATATGTGTTGGTTTGATCTCTGCCATGTATTGTACACGTGTTGGTTGTGTATACATGTTGGTTGGATCCTAGCCATGTATTGTACTTGTGTTAGTTGTGTGTACGTTTTGGTTTGATCTCAGCCCTGTATTGTACCTGTGTTGGTTGTGTATAGGTGTTGGTTGGATCTCAGCCCTGTATTGTACATGTGTTTGTTGTGTATATGTGTTGGTTTGATCTCTGCCCTTTTTGTACATGTGTTGGTTGTGTATATGTGTTGGATGGATCTCAGTCCTGTATTGTACATGTGTTGGTTGTGTATAGGGGTTGGTTGGATCCCAGCCCTGTATTGTACATTTGTTGGTTGTGTGTACGTTTTGGTTTGATATCAGCCCTGTATTGTACATGTGTTGGTTGTGTGTACGTTTTGGTTTGATCTCAGCCCTGTATTGTACACGGGTTGATTGTGTATACGTTTTGCTTTGATCTCAGCCCTGTATTGTGCATGTGTTGGTTGTGTATATGTTTTGATTTGATCTCTGCCCTGTATTGTACATGTGTTAGTTGAGTATAGGTGTTGGTTGGATCATAGCTCTGTATTGTACACGTGTTGGTTGTGTATACGTTTTGGTTGGATCTCAGCCCTGTATTGTTCATGTGTTGGTTGTGTATATGTGTTGGTTAGATCCCAGCCCTGTATTGTACATGTGTTGGTTGTGTGTACGTTTTGGGTTGATCTCAGCCCTGTATTGTACATGTGTTAGTTGTGTATACGTTTTGGTTTGATCTCAGCCCTGTATTGTACCTGTGTTGGTTGTGTATAGGTGTTGGTTGGATCCCAGTCCTGTATTGTACATGTGTTTGTTGTGTATATGTGTTGGTTTGATCTCTGCCATGTATTGTACACGTGTTGGTTGTGTATACATGTTGGTTGGATCCTAGCCATGTATTGTAAACGTGTTGGTTGTGTATACATGTTGGTTGGATCCTAGCCATGTATTGTACACGTGTTGGTTGTGTATATGTGTTGGTTTGATCTCAGCCCTGTATTGTACATGTGTTGGTTGTGTATAGGTGTTGGTTGGATCCCAGCCCTGTATTGTACATGTGTTTGTTGTGTATATGTGTTGGTTTGATCTCAGCCCTGTATTGTACCTGTGTTGGTTGTGTATAGGTGTTGGTTTGAAGTCAGCCCTGTATTGTACACGTGTTGGTTTTGTATATGTGTTGGTTGGATATAAGCCCAGTATTGTATATGTGTTGGTTGGATCTCAACCCTGTATTGTGCATGTGTTGGTTGTTTATACGTGTTGGTTTTGTATACGTGTTGGTTAGATCCTAGCCATGTATTGTATATGTGTTGGTTTGATCTCTGCCCTGTATGGTTGTGTATACATGTTGGTTGGATCCTAGCCATGTATTGTAAACGTGTTGGTTGTGTATACATGTTGGTTGGATCCTCGCCAGGTATTGTACACGTGTTGGTTGTGTGTACGTGTTGGTTGGATCCTAGCCATGTATTGTCCACGGGTTGGTTGTGTATACATGTTGGTTGGATCCTCGCCAGGTATTGTACACGTGTTGGTTGTGTGTACGTGTTGGTTGGATCCTAGCCATGTATATATGTGTTGGTTGGATATCAGCCCAATATTGTATATGTGTTGGTTGGATCTCAACCCTGTATTGTGCATGTGTTGGTTGTGTATATGTTTTGGTTGGGGTTGTGTATATGTGTTGGTTTGATCTCAGCCCTGTATTGTACACGGGTTGGTTGTGTATACGTTTTGCTTTGATCTCAGCCCTGTATTGTACACGGGTTGGTTGTGTATACGTTTTGCTTTGATCTCAGCCCTGTATTGTACATGTGTTGGTGGTTTATACGTGTTGGTTGTTTATACGTGGTGGGTGGATCCCAGCCCTGTATTGTACATGTGGTAGTTGTGTATAGGTGTTGGTTGGCCCAGCCCTGTACTGTACATGTGTTGGTTGTGTATACGTTTTGGGGTTGTGTATACGTGTTGGTTGGATCTTAGCCATGCATTACAACAAGATACAAGAAACTTTATTTAACGTGTTGGTTGTGTATATGTGTTGATTTGATCTCTGCCCTGTATAGGTGTTGGTTGGATCCCCGCCCTGTATTGTACATGTGTTTGTTGTGTATATGTGTTGGTTGGAGTCCAGCTCTGTATTGTACATGTTTTGTTTGTTTATACGTGTTGGTTGTTTATACGTTTTGGTTGGATCCCAGCCCTGTACTGTACATGGGTTGGTTGTGTATAGGTGTTGGTTGGATCATAGCTCTGTATTGTACATGTGTTGGTTGTGTATATGTGTTGGATGGATCTCAGTCCTGTATTGTACATGTGTTGGTTTTTTATACGTGTTGGTTGTTTATACGTGTTGGTTGGATCCCAGCACTGTATTGTACATGTGTTGGTTGTGTATACGTGTTGGTTGTTTATACGTTTTGGTTGGATCCCAGCCCTGTATTGTACATGTGTTGGTTGTGTATATGTGTTGGTTGGATCCCAACCCTGTATTGTACATGTGTTGGTTGTTTATACGTGTTGGTTGTTTATACGTGTTGGTTTTGTATACGTGTTGGTTAGATCCTAGCCATGTATTGTATATGTGTTGGTTTGATCTCAGCCCTGTATTGTACATGTGTTGGTTGTGTATATGTGTTGGTTGGATCCCAGCCCTGTATTGTACATGTGTTGGTTGTGTATATGTGTTGGTTAGATCTCAGTCCTGTATTGTACATGTGTTGGTTGTGTATACGTTTTGGTTGGATCTCAGTCCTGTATTGTACATGTGTTGGTTGTGTATATGTGTTGGTTTGATCTCTGCCCTGTATTGTACATGTGTTGGTTGTGTATATGTGTTGGTTTGATCTCTGCCCTGTATTGTACATGTGTTAGTTGTGTATAGGTGTTGGTTGGATCATAGCTCTGTATTGTACACGTGTTGGTTGTGTATACGTTTTGGTTGGATCCTAGCCATGTATTGTACACGTGTTGGTTGTGTATACGTGTTGGTTGGATCCTAGCCATGTATTGTACACGTGTTGGTTGTGTATACATGTTGGTTGGATCCTAGCCATGTATTGTACACGTGTTGGTTGTGTATACGTGTTGGTTGGATCCTAGCCATGTATTGTACACGTGTTGGTTGTGTATACATGTTGGTTGGATCCTAGCCATGTATTGTACACGTGTTGGTTGTGTATACGTGTTGGTTGGATCCTAGCCATGTATTGTACACGTGTTGGTTGTGTATACATGTTGGTTGGATCCTAGCCATGTATTGTACACGTGTTGGTTGTGTATACGTGTTGGTTGGATCCTAGCCATGTATTGTACACGTGTTGGTTGTGTATACATGTTGGTTGGATCCTAGCCATGTATTGTACACGTGTTGGTTGTGTATACGTGTTGGTTGGATCCTAGCCATGTATTGTACACGTGTTGGTTGTGTATACATGTTGGTTGGATCCTAGCCATGTATTGTACACGTGTTGGTTGTGTATACGTGTTGGTTGGATCCTAGCCATGTATTGTACACGTGTTGGTTGTGTATACATGTTGGTTGGATCCTAGCCATGTATTGTACACGTGTTGGTTGTGTATACGTGTTGGTTGGATCCTAGCCATGTATTGTACACGTGTTGGTTGTGTATACATGTTGGTTGGATCCTAGCCATGTATTGTACACGTGTTGGTTGTGTATACGTGTTGGTTGGATCCTAGCCATGTATTGTACACGTGTTGGTTGTGTATACATGTTGGTTGGATCCTAGCCATGTATTGTACACGTGTTGGTTGTGTATACGTGTTGGTTGGATCCTAGCCATGTATTGTACACGTGTTGGTTGTGTATACATGTTGGTTGGATCCTAGCCATGTATTGTACACGTGTTGGTTGTGTATACGTGTTGGTTGGATCCTAGCCATGTATTGTACACGTGTTGGTTGTGTATACATGTTGGTTGGATCCTAGCCATGTATTGTACACGTGTTGGTTGTGTATACGTGTTGGTTGGATCCTAGCCATGTATTGTACACGTGTTGGTTGTGTATACATGTTGGTTGGATCCTAGCCATGTATTGTACACGTGTTGGTTGTGTATACGTGTTGGTTGGATCCTAGCCATGCATTACAACAAGATACAAGAAACTTTATTTAACGTCGCATACAGGTAACAAGGAACTAGCTCTTGAGAGTTATTTTTGCGACAAATATTTTTAAAAATATTCATAACATATTATATTACAAGTAAAGGGAGATAATCACATATATTAATAATTAAACTGTAATAATCATCACAGAAAAAAAGAGAGTATACATATCCGTGGTTTCTAGGTGATTGTGAGTCCCCTACCTACAAAGGCCCCCGGGACTTATATATATAAAAATGATGTTAATATGTGAAAAGCATTCAATGTGATCACAGATAAGTAGTATTCAGAATAGGTAAATAAAAGACGTAGTTAATAGTGAATGAATACTTGTATATCACACAAGAAATACGTAGGACTTTGGATTAAAACACAATGAAGTGGAATATACATACAATGGTAATATAGCAAAGAATACAAATTGACAGAATATACACTATCATAGTGTGAATTAAAAATGATACCCAAATCAATTAACAAAATGTATCAAGTTTTGTAAAAATTTATATTTTGGAAAATATTGAATTAAAATACAAATAAGATGCAGCAAATACGATGTACATGTGTTAGTTGTGTATATGTGTTGGTTGGATCCCAGCCCTGTATTGTACATGTGTTGGTTGTGTATTTGTGTTGGTTGGATCGAAGCCATGTATTGTACATGTGTTGGTTGTGTATACGTGTTGGTTGTTTATACGTGTTGGTTGGATCCCAGCCCTGTATTGTACATGTGTTGGTTGTGGATATGTGTTGGTTAGATCTCCGTCCTGTATTGTACATGTGTTGGTTGTGTATATGTGTTGGTTTGTTCTCTGCCCTGTATTGTACATGTGTTGGTTGTGTATACGTTTTGGTTGGATCTCAGTCCTGTATTGTACATGTGTTGATTGTGTATACGTTTTGGTTGGATCTCAGTCCTATATTGTACATGTGTTGGTTGTGTATATGTGTTGGTTTGATCTCTGCCCTGTATTGTACATGTGTTGGTTGTGTATATGTGTTGGTTGGATCGAAGCCATGTATTGTACATGTGTTGGTTGTTTATACGTGTTGGTTCTTTATACGTGTTGGTTGGATCTCAGCCCTGTACTGTACATGTGTTGGTTGTGTATACGTGTTGGTTGTTTATACGTGTTGGTTGGATCCCAGCCCTGTACTGTACATGTGTTGGTTGTTTATACGTTTTGGTTTGATCTCAGCCCTGTATTGTACATGTGTTGGTTGTGTATATGTGTTGGTTGGATCCCAGCCCTGTTTTGTACATGTGTTGGTTGTGTATATGTTTTGGTTGGATGTCAGCCCTGTATTGTACATGTGTTGGTTGTGTATATGTTTTGGTTGGATCCCAACCCTGTATTGTACATGTGTTGGTTGTGTATATGTTTTGGTTGGATGTCAGCCCTGTATTGTACATGTGTTGGTTGTGTATATGTGTTGGTTGGATCTCAGCCCTGTATTGTACATGTGTTAGTTGTGTTGTACATGTTTTGGTTGTGTAACTATGTTGGTTGGATCCCAGACCTGTATTTTTTGTACATGTGTTGGTTGTGTAAATATGTTGGTTGGATCCCAGACCTGTATTTTTTGTACATGTGTTGGTTGTGTATATGTTACGTCAACACAGTCCGGATTTTTGTAACCATTGGTCCTTATCTTTACAGGTAATGTGTAAGTTACTAGGAGGTTACCTGGCCGAAGTACAGACCGATGATGAGAAAACGTTTCTGGACACCACTGCCCACCAAGAAAACAGTATGTTCTTTATTTATCACATACTCAAACTCTATCACTTACTACATCATTGTTTATTACATACTCAAACTCTATCACTTACTACATCATTGTTTATCACAAACTCAAACTCTATCACTTACTACATCATGCAATGTTTATCACATACTCAAACTCTATCACTTAATACATCATTGTTTATCACATACTCAAACTCTATCACTTACTACATCAATGTTTATCACATCACTTACTACATCAATGTTTATCAATACTCAAACTCTATCACTTACTACATCATTGTTTATCACAAACTCAAACTCTATCACTTACTACATCATGCAATGTTTATCACATACTCAAACTCTATCACTTAATACATCATTGTTTATCACATACTCAAACTCTATCACTTACTACATCAATGTTTATCACATCACTTACCACATCAATGTTTATCAATACTCAAACTCTATCACTTATGTAACCCTGGTAAATACTATCATTCACAACAGAACCACCTCTACTACAAAAACACTTTGTTGATAAACTCCTTCGCGGATTTATGAACAAAGTGCACACAGGGGTTTTTCAGGGTATAGACCGTTTAATACCCCAAATAGTCATGGTTATTCCTTATAATTTGATTAAAAAATGACAATCAATACACTTTAGTCTATAGTTAAATGAATATTTCAACAAAATAAGTTTTCACAAATACAACATTGCGCTGTAATCTCATCGCCGAACAGCTTCTACCAATCAGACGCAAGAAATAGATCTACAAATATCGCGCCTAATATTGCGGTGTACGCGTACGACGTCATCACTATTTGTGGTGTCTTTTGTAAGGTTATATACGATATAACTTTAGAAGTCTATCATTTGCGGTTTAGCCAAAAATTAGATTATCAGTTTCCATCTAAAATACATGTTGTGGAATACGGATTTAGGATATCTTTGTTAACCTGAAAATGTGTTTCTAAAGCACTAGAATTATCTTCACAAAAGAATATTTGAACACAGTGGTAAAACTATCATCTATTATACATGAACCGTCGTCGCCGCTAAATGGAAGGTAACGCAGCCAGCCTTTTTGTGCAACTGCATGGTCATTGGGGGAGGGGTGGTTGGTCAGGACCTCCCAATAGAAATTGAAAAAAGGTAGAATCTATTTTTTACAGTTTCTGGGGAGCCCTCATTTCCCCTAGACCATCGCCAGTGGCGGCTCCAGAGGGGTTTTGGGCTTTAGGACCCCCCCC